GTTTTTAGTGCTATCTCCGACTCAGAGTGAAATTCACTTCCCAAAATAGCACGCGCGCACCGTCCGCCTCCCGCTCTTTTAAATAGCTGCCAACTGAGTGACGAAGTCTAATCCATACGTAGGGTGGGGATCGGATTTGAGGGGGCAAGTGAAACTGGAATACATCACGCAGTATCTCATCGTCGATTGAAAACAGGTCTTCCAGCTCGTCTTCGCTAAGACCCTCTCTAGCAGCAGTTATAAAAGCGAGGGCGTGTGATGTCTGAAAAGTTAGATGAATATAGTTGAGTGGGATAGAATAGGACGAAGAAATAGCATTGCCATAACATGCCTTTATATAGTGGCTATAATGACTCGATTATTAAGAAGCTTAGATCCAGTTGATACCGATAAATGAATCTCCAAATTAGTATATCATCGAAAAGAATTATGATCATCGAAATTATGAAAGGCTAAAAAGGCTTAGAGAAGCAAGGGTTATTGCAAGCTCTTTAAATCACTGTCTCACAGAGTCAAACAATCAAATAATTATAGGAAGAAAGGTTTTGCCGGGTTTTCCTTTATATAAGGAAAGGCAATAAAAAGTAAATAAAATCCGTCGTGTTCTTAAATTTATTCCAAGAAAAACTAAAAAGCATGTGTTCTGCGAATATTTTCGGAAAAATAAGCAAATTGGGTACTCCGTTAAATTAAGTTTATAGTTTAGCTTTACGCAAAGTAAGCTGCGCCAACTCACAAAGAGTGTACCATGCTGACTCTCCCACAGTCGAAATAAATCTAGAATCGCCTCCAATGAACTCGTGGCTAGTCTAAGACGAGGCCAGGTCTGAATCACATCAGAAGATTCAGCACCTGGCATTCTTGGACGCCGCTGAGATACTTTGGTTGGCAATGGCATCAAGCTAGGAGATTCATCAGTAGAAGTCTGGCCCGATGCAGAAGAGGAAGCGGATATCCCAAAATTTTCCAGATAGGGGGCTTGATCGGGGGCCAAATGGTCAGACCGCCTCAAGGGCGAGACGCCATTGAAGTCTGGTACAGGAGATAAATCAGCCGGGTCACTAGTGCATCCGCAAGAGGACTTAATGGTAACTAAGTTGACCGAGCTGGACGGTTTCGAAGTCGCGCAAGCGTAATCTTCTGGACAAGTAATAGAGCTTCCTATGCAATGAGAATAGGGTGAGGACTGAGATGAGCGCGAAAGCAGGGACGATGAGCTGCTGCTCAGCAAATAAAATGACTCTTCCTTGGGTGATGAGTTGAGAAGGGATGAAGTGGATGGACAATTCATTGATGAGGATATGTGATCATTTGACACAGTCGAGACGGTCGAAATTCCGTGGAGTAGCTGGTGACCTAAATGATCTGCAAATCCGAAATCTTGCACAGATGGCTTATCCTGCTGTGGCAGCTGGTTGGTAGCAGTTTGGCTCGCCATAAAAGAATCGAATGATGGTCGTATTGAGCTAGATATTTTTAGAGGAGCCAACTTGAAAGCGGATAAAGGTAATGGGACAAGACGAATGGGACTAGGCGGCTTCCGAGGAAGGCAGTCATCAATGTCGGGGTTGTTCGAGTGGCCAGATAGTGACCATGTATCAGGAGCTATGGTGTGTATGGGAAGCTGCCAAGACCTCCATTCGCAAACCTAATAAAAAGGGAAGTACAAGAACAAAGACATGTGTTTACTTAAGAGTGGCAATGACATAGGTTGTGCTAAGC